TCAATTTTGTCTAGCCAACCTGAAGAGAATTTGACTCAGCAAACTCAGTTAGACATTTTATCAGAAGATGTTGATAAACCTCCTTTGAGGTTTACTTATAGAAGAAGAAATCAGTCTTGAATAGTTGAGCTGCTGTCTTTAACTTCGAATAAGTGAGGGTAGTTTAGTAATTGAGTCTGGCTTAAATAGGGAGGTGGTCGTTAGAAGTCAGGTATTCTGTTTTGATCACTTTGAGTTGTAGATTGTTGAAGCGTAAGCTTTGGGGAGAGAATCCCAGACCTCTCGAAAGTCTGGGAGTTGTATCAATCACAATTTGCAATAGATTGGCCGATAATTTCAGCCTGGTTCGTTTCAATTGTCGACTTACCTATCGCGATACTGTTTTCTGTGAGTTTCACGTTTACGATTTGGCTAGAAGGTACGTTTTCTGTTTACGAATTAAGCTAGGGTTTATCAAATTGGTATCAGAGCACGTTTCGATTGAAGATGGCGAACGTCACGACGCGAAGCACTAATAATCGAATTGAAGATTTGGAAAGTAGTGTTGGATCAATTGAGAGGAGTCTGGAGCGTATTGTACAGCAAATTGAAGATCTGAAGAATGAATTTGTGAATCGAACGAATGCTACTAATTCTTCCGATGAAGCGATGACGACACGGGTAGAGCGCGGGGAACGTAATCGAGGCGGCCAGAATCGATTTCTGGCAGTGAAAGGGCATAAACTGGAGATCCCGATTTTTGATGGCAAAGACCCAGATGGTTGGATTTTGAGAGCTGAACGGTATTTCACACTGAATCAATTGAGCCAGGAAGAGAAGATTGACGTGTCTTTTGTTTCATTTGAAGGGGATGCACTGAAGTGGTTTCAATGGGAACACAAGAGGCACCCGATTACCAGGTGGGAGGATCTAAAACACCTACCGTTGAGGCAATTCAGATCATTGTCAGCAGATTCTTTGTGTGAACAATTTCTGTCAGTGAGACAAGAAGGATCGGTTGAAGATTACAGAAGAAAGTTTGTTGAGTTTGCAGCGCCAGTGGATGGGATTCCGAAACAGGTTTTTTTAAGTCAATTCATTAACGGATTGGAAGAGTCTATTAAAGTAGAACTGAGACTCTTGGATCCGTTAACACTTAGCGAAGCAATGGAGGTAGCCATGAAGATTGAATTGAAAAACAAAGTGTTATCGAGAGAGAAGAATGCGGGATACGGCAAGAAAACAGGTTCATCTTTCTATTCTAATCAAGAGTCGAAAAGCAATTTTTCTAGTCATGGGTATAATAATGTCGCCAATTCTGTCAATTACCCGACAATTGCAAGTAAAGCAAATACCGGTTTTCGACGTCTGTCTGATCAAGAAGTACAACAAAGAAGAGTGTTGGGTTTATGTTATCGGTGTGATGAAAAATATGCCCCGGGCCATAAATGTAAGAAGAAGGAGATGAGTGTGTTGCTAGTCCAAGATGATGTGTTTGAGGATACGGAACCAGAAACGGAGGAAAAAGTTTGCAATACAGCTAAAATTGTTGAAAAAGTAGAGGTACATTTAAATTCAGTTGTGGGTTTGACTAATCCTAAAACTATGAAGTTGGAAGGAAAGATTGAAGGACAAAAGGTGGTAGTGTTAATTGATAGTGGGGCCACACATAATTTCATATCATATGATTTGGTGAAAAGACTGAATTTAAAAATAGAAGCTACTGGTGAATATACTATTACGTTGGGTTCCGGAAATGTGGAGAAAGGAAGTGGTATTTGCAAAGGAATAATGTTGTCTTTACCTAAAGTTGAGATAAGAGAAGATTTTCTGCCTTTAGGTTTGGGTAATAGCAACGTGATCTTAGGGATGCAATGGTTGGAGACTTTGGGAGCGACTTATGTTAACTGGAAATTACAAGTGATGAAGTTCTCTTGTGGAGGAAAATCGGTAATGTTAAAAGGGGACCCGTCTCTGGGACGTTCGATGGTGTCATTAAAGACGATCGGGAAAATGATCAATCATGAAGGACAGGGAATTTTGGTGGAATTGGGAACTTGTTCGGTGTTTTCAGATAATATGGAGGAATCAAATATTGTTTTGGAACCACTACTAAGAGAATTTGAATCAGTCTTTAACATGCCGCAGGGATTACCACCGGAAAGAGGTAGGGAGCATGGGATCGTGTTAAAGGAAGGGACTGAAACGATTAATGTTCGGCCGTACCGTTACCCTTATTATCAGAAAGACGAAATTGAAAAATTGGTAAAGGAGATGCTCGAGGCAGGAGTTATTCAACCGAGTATAAGTCCTTTTTCTAGCCCGGTATTGTTGGTTAAGAAGAAAGATGGAAGTTGGAGATTTTGTATTTGATTATCGCGCATTAAACAAGGTAAATATTGTTGATAAGTTCCTGATTCCGGTTATTGAAGAACTTTTGGATGAATTGCATGGAGCAACCGTATTCTCCAAACTCGATCTAAAATCGGGTTATCATCATATTCGAATGAAAGAGGACGTTTATAAGACAGCATTTCGAACCCATCAAGGACATTACGAGTTCTTAGTAATGCCCTTTGGATTGGTTAATGCACTGGCAACATTTCAAGGATTAATGAATGAAGTTTTCAAGAAGTATCTACGGAAGTTTGTATTGGTTTTTTTTGATGATATTCTGGTCTACAGTAAAACGATTGTAGAACATTAGGTGCATCTACGGAAAGTGTTGGAGGTTCTTTACCAACATCAGTTGTTTGCGAATAAAAAGAAATGTGAGTTCGGTCGAGATCGTTTGGGGTATTTGGGTCATATAATTTCAGCAAAAGGAGTCGAAGTTGACCCATCGAAAATTGCTGCGGTTTTGGAGTGGGTGGAACCGAAATCGGTAACGGAATTAAGAGGATTTTTAGGGCTGTCCGGGTATTATAGAAAATTCATAAAAGGGTACGGAATTCGAGCCAAACCTCTCACCGATCTCCTAAAAAAAATCAATTTCAGTGGACTTCGGAAGCTCAACTGGCGTTTGATGAATTGAAGAAAACGTTATCATCAACTCCGGTGTTACGCTTTCCCGACTTTTCTAAAGATTTCGTAGTGGAGACAGATGCATCAGGATATGGTCTGGGAGCGGTTCTTATGCAAGAGGAACAACCGATCGCATACTTTAGTCAAGCTCTAGGGCTAAGGGCGAAACAGAAGTCGGTTTATGAGAAAGAGTTAATGGCCATTGTGTTGGCTATAAAAAAGTGGAGACTGTATTTGTTGGGAAAGAAGTTTGTAGTTCGTACAGATCAACAAAGCCTTCGTTTTTTATTAGAGCAACGGGTGGTGGAACCGGAATACCATAAATGGGCTAGTAAATTACTGGGATATGATTTTTCAATTGTCTACAAGTCGGGGAGTTCCAATCAAGCAGCGGATGCACTTTCTCGTAAAATCGATTCGGTGGAATTGGCCAATATGGTGAATTTTACGTGGAGAAATTGGGACGACTTGAAACAAGAAATTATTGGCGATAGTTTTCTGAACCGTATCAAAGACGACTTAAGTTTGGAGAAGGCCGAGCACAAGGGATTCGAGATTCAACAAGATCTGTTATTGTATAAAGGTCGTCTGGTTATTCCTCGTTTGTCCAAAATGATACCGTTAATTTTTGAGGAATTTCATGGATCACCAATTGGCGGTCATACGGGAGAAGATCGGACGTATCAACGTATTGCATCGGAGGTTTTTTAGGTGGGAATGAAGAAAGACATAGTGAATATGGTTAAAAATTGTGAGGTGTGTCAGAGGAATAAAAATCTGAGCGGCAGTCCGGCTGGCCTTTTGCAACCTTTATCCTTACCAGATAAAGTATGGGACGAGGTTTCTATGGATTTCATCGAAGGTCTACCCCGATCGAACGGTATGAGTTCAATCATGGTAGTGGTAGACAGGCTCAGTAACTACGCCCATTTTGTTGGGTTAAAACACCCTTTTAATGCTCAAACGGTGGCCGAAGCATTCGTAAAAAATATAGTAAGATTGCACGGGGTTCCTCAGTCGGTTATTTTGGATCGAGATAAGGTGTTCCTTAGTCGATTTTGGAGGGAGTTGTTCCGTTTGCAAGGAGCGAAGTTGAAATTCAGTTCGGCGTACCATCCACAGTCAAACGGTCAGACCGAGGTAGTGAATCGTTGCTTGGAGCAATACTTGAGATGTTGGGTGTCATCCACACCTAAACAATGGTGCAAATGGCTCCCATGGGCTGAACTTTCGTATAATACCTCTTTTCATACGGCCCTTAAAGTGTCTCCTTTTAAGGTGTTGTGTGGAAGAGATCCTCCTCCTTTACTTCGTTAGAAAGCAAACTCATCGAGGGTACAATCGGTAGACCAAGAGTTGTCGGATAGAGAAGAAATGCTTGATGAAGTGAAATTGCAATTATTGAAGGATCCATTTCGTATGAAACAGTATGTTGATTTGAAGCGAAAAGAAGTGGAGTTTGTGGTAGGAGATTGGGTTTTCCTTAAGTTGCGTCCTTACAGACAGAAATCGCTGGTAATGGGGAATAGCCCTAAACTCTGGCCCGTTTCTATGGACCGTATAAAGTGCTGGAAAAGATTGGGAGTGTGGCGTATCGTTTGGATCTACCGAGTTCAGCGAAGATTCATCCGGTTTTTCACGTGTCTCAATTAAAGAAGGCGGTGGGAAGTTGTATTTCTACTCAAGAATTTCCAACTCAGATTTCTGAGGAGTTGGTATTACTAGCTGTTCCCGAAGATATTTTGGATATGAGACCCTTATCGAATGGTGACGTGGGTCAATTTGAAGTCTTGGTAAAATGGAAAGGAATGTCGGATTTTGAAGCTTCCTGGGAGAATCTTGAAGCACTTCTTCAACAATTTCTGGGTTGTCACCTTGAGGACAAAGTGAATTTTTTTTGGGGGGGGGGGAGTATTGATAAACCTCCTTTGAGGTTTACTTATAGAAAGAAGAAATCAGTCTTGAATAGTTGAGTTGCTGTCTTTAACTTCGAAATAAGTGAGGGTAGTTTAGTAATTTTGTCTGGCTTAAATAGGGAGTTGGTCGTTAGAAGTCAGGTATTCTGTTTTGATCACTTTGAGTTGTAGATTGTTGAAGCGTAAGCTTTGGGAGAGAGAATCCCAGACCTCTCGAAAGTCTGGGAGTTGTATCAATCACGATTTGCAATAGATTGGCCAACAATTTCAGCCTGGTTCGTTTCAATTGTCGACTTACCTTTCGCGATACTGTTTTCTGTGAGTTTCACGTTTACGATTTGGCTAGAAGGTACGTTTTCTGTTTATGAATTAAGCTAGGGTTTATCAGATGTAAAGGAAGAGCTTTTTTCCCGAATCAGGAGCATTGAAACACACTCTAGTTAAGCAGTAATGTTTTTATGTCTATGCTTCTTTACTCCTTTCTTATGTGAGGAAAAAAATTTCAAACTAATTTCCTAACTCCAAACTAAATTTTCCATAATACTCACATCCCAGAGCTTTAGAGTATTTATTTGTGCCAAAAGAAAGTCTCCTGTTTGAAGATTTAGCAATAAGATAAATGTAAAGTCTCTGTAGTACCCTTCATTAGTTCATTAGTCTTTTACACGAAACAAAGCTATGCATGTTGGGAGTATCCTCTATGCATCCTTCACATATAGTTTCAAATATGCTCAAAAAGTTAAACGCACTGACTTTTCCATAATATCCTTTTTCATGCATCCCTAGCATCCTTGGTAATGGTAACAAGTGATTTGGAGATAACCATGAAGATGCTCCAAGTTGCCCAATTCGTACCCGAAGATGTCGTGTAATGCCCATTTGTGGGTCTTAAAATTAATCGGTCACTCTAAGCTAGGTAGTATAGTAAGAGCAATAATGTAACCCTACCGTACCGTTTTATACATTGTTAGTACTTCAAAACTTCCAATGCACACCAATGAACTAATCAAGTTGTTCTTCCTTGACTTGCTTAGCCATCTAAATCAATATCGACTGCCGCTTCCATATGCATTCAGCTCCAGTCACTTCCGTTGTAAATCACTTTGCTTGTGTTTCCACCAATGCTAGTTCAAATAGCAAATCCAGTAGTCACTGAAAATATCGATCTAGCAACTATTACAATCAAATAATTCCTACCACCAGTTTCACAGAAAACCGGTCCTCAGGTTTCAATTACTGCATCTAGCCCTTTCGCTACTTTTAAAAGAAACAGTTGGTTTCAGGGAATCGCATCTGAATATAGAACTTGAAAGAAATCAAACCCCGGTTATGCCTATGTAGATCCTCAAACCTGGCTCCCATGAAGTTAAAGAGGAGTAGATGGGCGTGTTTAAATTGATTTAGCAAATAATTAAAACATCAAAATCATTGATATGGATACCGAGGGTGCAAAGATAAATTTTCTTAATTGGTCTGATAGCAAAAGGGCAGTCCTAACCGACGAGAGGCTACAATTATATAACCGGGTGATATGTCTTCCCCCAAAGCTCTATCATAATCGTGCGAACACGGGTTAGTAGCAATAATGAAGGGTTATAACAGAGAAGAATCACAAGAAAGCCAGGATCAGACACTGAAGTTTCAAGGTCAAATAGGATTGATTGGTAATAGTTTCAGTTAGAGACAGTCAGGCTAAAATAAGCCTGTAAAATTGGAGGCGAGATGAACAAAACAAACCTCTGGACAGCAGATGATTAAAGGGGGGTGAGCAGTGGGTGGAGCGGAGACCGTAGTCGGCGGTGTCCTGGATCTGAGTAGTTGTGGAGACGACGGAGGCAGGCCTCCATGACGATGTGAGAGAAGCTAGCCTCCTGCTTCCGGCTCTCAGCATCCTGTTGATGGGTTGTTGTAGGGTTCCTTCTGTCGAAATCTTCTTCCGTCTTAAAGCTGCCCCTTCGATTTAAAATGAGAAATGTCAGTTGGATCAAAAATCAAAAAAAGAAATTGTTCCATGTTTTATTTATCTTTTACTTTTAGCAAGTGATTGGTTTTGATAAATAATTTTTTAAAATATGGATTTTTATTTCTCTGAATATATAAAACTTTTCAAAAAATAATTACCAAGAGAACAGAGTGAATTTTTATTAATAAAAAATAATATTTGATTAAAAAATTTTGAATAATATAATTAGTTATGTAAATCTTGAAAATAAATAATTTGTTGGAATTAGATATAATTATTTTTAAATATTTTGGATTTGGTTTTTTTTATTTTAAAAAATCTATTGTTGAAGAGTCTCTTAAATTTATGGTTAGCCTAGTTTTAAATTAAAATAAGATATCTAATTAATATAAAGTATTGAAAATTATTGGATTGAATTAATAAAACCGAGGTTGTTTCTCTGTCTTTAGATTTGGAGGAGATGTATTGACGATGAGGATAGAACAAGTATAATATTTAAATTTGTGACTATGAATCTCGTCTCATTTGTTGCAGTCAAATAGACAAAATCCCGACCTAGTTATCATCTCCCACCATGTTCTCGTTCGAGACATTGATTGGTTTTTGTGTTAATCAGTTGATGCATCTTCACTTCCACTGTGTATCAATTTGAAGAGTCCCATATGGGAAGTCAATACAAGTCGAAAAATCATTGTTTGTTGCATTTATCTCCTCAAATACATCATGTCGTCTTTAGGACAATTTCTTGTCCACCACAAAAGGGAGATCCTGCTTTTCAGTCTTAGGTGCATAAGAGTCTCAGCTTGAAAAATCGTCATTTTGAGAAGGTAAAACTTTAAAAACTAAATTATATTCTCTTTTCACTTACTTCTTATACATGTTAGCAAATTTGTAAGTACATGCAAGATCACAAGATGTTAAAGGAACAATCTTTCACAAGTGTTACATAGCTAAAAGAAAACCCATCAACATTTCTTCCTCCAGCTCTATCACAACACAAGCCTGTGGGGGAAATGAAGGATAAATAAAAAAAACAAAAGTTAATATTTATGATTAGAGGTTATGTTGATTTTTTGTAAACACCTTATTTATTATATGGAGAGGTAGTAATATGTAAGCAAGCATACCCTAACTCGTTTTTTTTTATCTTATTAGAAGGGGTATTTACGCAATGCAACGAGATACATCTCAATTTTAATATTTCGTTTTTTTGTCTATATCTATGCTATAATACAATGTTATGTGGTTTTAAGAAAGCGACATTTATTTTTTAATAAAATATAAATTTGAAGATATCATAACATTTTAAAATATATATATATATCCATATTAGTATCAAATTAATTATTTAAAAAATATAGTTTTTTTTGTAATTTTGCTAATTCAAAATTTTTATTATTATTCAACTTAAGTTTAATAACGAGATTTTTGTTTGTTTGTTAAGAATCTAACTTTTTATTGTAAAAATAATAATTAAGTATCACGTTAGAACTTTATGGTTATCCTGATTATATTTTAGATATTTTATATTTAAAATAATATTTTATTATGTATTTAATTATGGTTATTTACAGTTTGCTACACAAATTCAAACATGCAGTTTTAATATAGTAAAACAAATTCAATGAAAAAATTATAATCGTCAAAATGAGCCAATAACTCCTATGCAGATGGGGTTGGAGAGTGAACCTATTACAAAATCCAATTAGCTAAAATAAAAGTAAAAGTTTTATAAGAGTATTGTTCACTCTAAAATATAAAATAGGTTCGATACAAAAAAGAAAAAGAAAAGGAAACCTTAAATCTTTGTGTACCGACCCTTAATCGAATAGTTGGGGTCCCACTATGTCAAAAGCAAGATAAACCTCATCCATCTCCTTATTTTTTTTACAATCTACTTGTAATTTTGAATTTTAAATAATATGTATCAATAAATAATATTTTTTGTATAAAAAATGTTTTATAATATAAGATAGATATATTTCCCGTCTCTTCAGTTGTTTTTCATGCTCTCTTCCTCCTCTTATCTCTCAATGTTTTCTATTCTAATTATGTTGTAAAAAAATTAAAGCATAAAAACTACTACAAGTAAAAAATTGTAAAAATAAGAATGCATGAGTATGCACATTAATGAGGGTTTGAATTAGATTTGTTCTCGATTTATTAATGTTTATTGAATAAAAAACAAGTTGAGTCCATATTCCATTAAAATGGTTTTAGAAACAAATATCTGATGAAGGAAATATATCGATTTTATGCACAAATGTTGGTTTTTAATATATGGAGGCAAGGGGATGGTGATATGGAACAATTATGATCATTTAAATCATACATAGTAGTTAAATTAATCATTTAACAAAGTTTAACCATTTAATATTTAAAGATAAAATACAAAGACAAATATCAAAGATGGTTATTTAGCATAACAATCAAACAACAATTTTAACCATGTGTTATATAGGGTAAATGTTTGTTTTTCATAATTATTTTTTAAAACCACGTAAATATCATGTTTTACATCATACTTTAAGTTTTTATAGAATTGAATAACTTGGTTATATGATCGAACACCCAAAACAAATTTTATTTTGTTATAGTATGTCGGAGTCGGAGTCGCAGAAATAAATAAAAAAAGTTAGGTCAGCCCCAAAACAAACCCATAAATTTTAAGTACAAAACACAAGTGTGAGCCAGCCGGATTTCTTAAAAGGAAAATGAAAAAAAAACGAGGGTTCGGACAGCTGGACGGTACGGAAATTGGCCTTTTCATATCATATGCTCCCCCCTCCTCCTCCGTTTGCCGCTCATATTTTTACCCACTTGTCGAAACCCTAATCTCCATCTCCCTCTCCCTCAGTAGGCATCAATCTCTTATCATATTTATACGCGATCACGTATGCATTTCCATTATCCTTTCACTCATTCCTTCGTTTTTGTCACTCCTTGCAGACTTTCTGGCTTAGACCTCCACGATGGTTGTGCAGTCCGTCCTAGCCACCAAAAATGACGCCCCTGCGGAGATTGGACACACCGTCCAAGATTGTGGGGGAGTAGACACTTATATTTGCTCTCCGGCTAGGAGGATTAGTGCCCGGATTCAGAAGATCGAGAGCAACAAGGCTGCTATTCGACTTCGCCAACGGGAGGAGGACTCTCTCACCAAGGCAGATAAACCGGTGAGGAAGAAGCAGCGATTGAACCACCACAAACAAAAAGGTATAGCGGGTAATGTGCAGACACAACTGGTCCAGGATGAAGGAATCCTAACCGGCGTCACATCTAACTCAGACGGGGGTACAGAGCACACTGAAAAACTCAAGGGTGAGGATATAACAGAGGAGATTGAAACTGGTTCCACCTCCAAGGGCCAAGTTGGAGAGAGGAGTGCTTACGCAATGGTCACAGATACCATTAGAGCTTTTAACAAGCACTACCTTTACTTTGTTCAGGTATTTTCTTTCAGTATTGCTTCTGACATTAAGCATCAAATATCAGAAATGTACAACGGAAACATTACACACGCTGCAATATTTAAACCAAACTAAAACATGCAAGCACAGCAAGTAAAGGTACCTTTGCGTTTTGGCCTCCCACCATTTTAAGGAATGTAAATGTACGGACTGGTACAACTTTTTTTTGGATCTTCTTCCCTTGTTAATTTGTGAACGTAAGGGACTGATGTTGGAGGCGTACCTCCTAGAATAATCATTATTTTACTGATAAATGAACGTTCTGTCCTTCCAACAAATTATTCTGATATAACTGCAAGTTAATTGATTTACTTTATATGATCTGCCATGTCGCAACTTATTTCTGGGAAAACCATTCTGTTATCAATCTGCAATCATGATAGGTGCATAAGTGTCGCTACCTTTCTGTTTCTTGTCCGACACAGAAAGTTCCCATACAAGATTCTATACATAGTTCTACAAGTTGATAATTGAGATTGGTTCCATGCAATTATGTACAGGTGGAAGAATCAAGATGCAAAAAAGACGAAGATGATAGGAAAAAACCAAAGAAACCAAAATCTAAGGTTAGCATCTAGTTAGCCTTTCTCAAACTGGAACTTCTCAAGCTTTTCTAATTGTTACCCAGTTGCTTCTGGTCTATGACCGCATTCAGTTATCTTGTCTGTTAACTCATTAACAATCTGTACCAATTATTTCCTTTTGTTTTAGATTACACTTGAAGCATCTTGAAGATCATCATACTTCATTTAATGTATCACAAGTTCTGGTATACGGCTTTCTAGGACTGCTACCCAACTGATTTACATTTAACATGTGCTCCTTTTTCCTAGTTTAGGCAAGCAGTATGGTTATCTGATACACAGATGTGTCCCTTTCTCACGGTTCAGCCAAGCAGAGAGGCATCTCATACATCTTTTCGTGACAATATTTCTTAAAGATTGCACTATTAGAACAAAGCATTTTGGCTGTGTATTTTCTTTGCTGTATAACGTCACCAGTAACCCAACAGGCTATTCAACATACGTTGCTTTGATAATCTGTAATAGGTAGTTTAATATGCCATCTGTTTGTATAAGGTCAGAGGAATTATGATTTTGGATTAAGGATTGACATGGTAATTTTATATTACAAATTCTTTCCTTCTTTAGTTTTTTGGTACTCATTTTTGTTTTTGTTTTTGGAGCCTCATGTGCATTTGTAGCCGCTTTCTTCATGCATAAACATAACAATGAGATTTTTATATTGCAAGGTCTTTAGGTCATGCAGTTTGCACTTTTTATGCATTGGGTGTGTATGCATGGCGGTTTATTTCTGCAGCTCTAAATGTTCTAGCTCGTTAAAAGCGTGCGAGCGTGCTATAGCTCATGATTTCATGGTTAACAAGATTCTGCCACATTATGTTTTCAGTGTTTATAGTTGATTTTTCTAGGTCTCAACTCAACTAAAAGCTAAAAAGGGCAGTTACTAGTTACAAGGTCCTAAAACTGATTCAAATGTCAAGCTTTAAGATCTTCCCTTATATTTGATGTGGATTAATTTAGTCGTTCACCATTGTGTCCAAACCAAATCGGTGCAAATATCATGTATGTCATTTGGTGAAACAATCGAAAGCTGATGATTTGAATTCCGGACTTCTCAGAACTTGTAGAATCCCAAGTGTTTAGTCACCAACTTATTTACAAGTTCAGTCAGTAGACAGAAGTTTGAAAATACATCAAGCTGCAATATATTTGATCAAGATATTTGCCTTGGTGGTCAGAGATAAGCTGGAGTGGCTAAGAGGATGTATATTATCATCACATTTAAGATCCCTTTATCATACTTGGGACTTTTCTGCATTCTCCTTTTGAATTATCTCATTGGACACTATATTAGAGCGAGATCACCTTCCATGTTTGAGACAACAACTACTACATTCTCCTTTTTTAATTGATCTTGACATTACAATATGATGCAGAAATTTGTGCAGAACCAGGATGCAACTGAAGAAAAAGCAAAGGCCAAACGACCTGATCTTAAGGCTTTATCAAAAGTAAGTCACTCCTTTTAATCATATCTGGTGAAGTAATATTCACGATGTTATAATGTAGTGAAGCTCTGTAGTTACTAATATTTCAACACAATTAATATTTACCTTGAACATATGCCAAGGAAAAAAAAGAAAAGAAAAAGGCACCAACAATTATGCAACTCCATGCTAGAAATGATTTGTGGGTATATGTGAAACATATGCACTTTGTCTAGTTATTGTATTTTGTCTCTACTGCAAAGAAGTTGAATCTAAGTCTATGGTCACATTGTTTTGACAACATAAATGTGCAGATGATGACATCCAATACCATATTATGCCCTCAAAAAAGGATAGGATCAATCCCAGGTTGGTACTGCATGGTCTTGTCCTTTTCATTACATATATCTAAAAGTTCACCAAGATAACACTATTTAGCTGGAATATGGATGCCCTTCTCGCCTTTTTACTTGTAGTCTAAAGAAGTTCAGATTTAGCTGAGATGCATGTAATTGTTGTAGTACTGGAAATAGTTATTGCTATATCTTTTCAAAGGGACTTATAATTGCAGGAATTGATGTTGGGCACCAATTCTTTTCACGGTGTGAGATGGTCACTGTAGGTTTCCATAACCACTGGCTCAATGGAATTGATTATATTGGACAAAGTTCACAAAAGGTAATGTATTTTAATAAGGAAATGACTTACCATCCTTGTTTTGGTTTGTTGTCATTACTAGTGATTGCATAGATGCTTTTGCAGTCTACAAGTTACTCCATGCTTTTTTTGAAGGAGGCTTTTGTGCATCTCTTCACCTAATTCCTCTTTTATGTCGTGTTTTTGTAGGAGTATCCTCAATACAAGTTACCAATTACCGTGGCCATAGTGTTGTCGGGCCAATATGAGGATGATTTGGATAACTGTGAAGATGTTGTATATACTGGTCAAGGTGGTAATAATTTACTTGGCAATAAACGTCAGATCAGTGATCAAGTAATGAAACGTGGAAATCTAGGATTGAAGGTAAGCAGTCTTTTTTAATGAGGTTGACATTGTAATGCATGTGGCAGTTCAGATTTACCAAACTGCATCTTTGCACATGAACATGTAACAAGTGATTGTTGGTGACATCGATACGATGTTATTTGTGCTTTTGGCGTGTAGCTCAGTTGGCAAAGGGGCAGGGTGACTTTGCCCAAAATCCCAAATACAAGATAGGTCCCAGTTTCGATTCCCCCCCCCCC